GGGCTCGAGACTCTGAAGGCAGGGACCCTCTGACCATCGCCATGGAAACAGCCAACGCTGACATCGTCACCCTGTGAGAATGCCTGAAGGGGAGGGGCTGGCTGGCGCTGGAGCCCCACCACCCCCCGCCCACTTTCGGGCGGGCGGGGCTGATGCAGAAACAGGAGCCTGCCCGGTGGGGCCTGGGGAAGGGCTGGGCCAGCGCCTGGGCCAGGCTCAAGAAAGGCTGCGCCAAGTGTGCATTGGGGCGTGGAGTAGAAGGCAGGCGGGAGGGCGGGCAGGGTGCGAGGATGCTTGGCCCACCCTGAGAGGCGTCATTCGCCCATCAACATTGCCGTCAGGCATCTTTTTAGCACTAGACGTGACCCCGGGTGGGCAGATGAACGAACGCAACCCAGCTCAAAGAATGGGAAGTTGGCGGGGGAGGTGAGGATAGTGTCGTTTTTTTTTTTTTTTTGAGACGACTCTTTTTTTTGAGAGAGTCTCACTCTGTCGCCCACGTTAGAGTGCAGTGTTGCGATCTCGGCTCACTGCAACCTCCGCCTCCCGGGTTCAAGCGATTCTCCTGCCTCAGCCTCCCGAGTAGCTGGGACTACAGGCGCCCGACACCACACCCGGCTAATTTTTTGTATTTTTAGTAGAGACAGGGTTTCACCATGTTGGCCAGGACGGTCTCGATCTCCTGACTTCGTGATCCACCTGCCTCGGCCTCCCAAAGTGTTGGGATTACAGGCGTGAGCCACCCGCCCCCGGCCAAGGATAGTGTCCTTCATGTCTTAATTTCCTTCCCTTCAGGCTACGACTGGCAAAGATGAGGGAAGCTGAAGCGGCCCAGGGGCAGGCAGGTAAAGAATACACCCACCCCACCCGCCAGGCCCAACACCTGAACTCTGGGTTTCTGGTCCACGGTGACCTCTCTCCCTAGTGCCCAACTGCATTCATTCCGTTATTTAACAAACGCGTATTGGGCGCATGCGACGTGCCAGGCCCTGGCAAGGCATGGGCGCTGGCGCGGTGCTCGCGGCGCGCACGTTCCCATCCAGGCTCGGAGCGCGAGGTCCCCAGGCGGGCCCCAAACGCGGGACCCTGCCCTTCTGCACTGGGGCCCAGCCGCCTCCCGGCCTTTCCTCCCTCCCCTAGGAGATGAGACGTATCTTGACATCTTCCGCGACTTCTCCCTCATGGCGTCAGACGACCCGGAGAAGCTGAGCCGGCGCAGTCACGACCTCCACACGCTGTGACCCCAGGCCCAAGGGTCTGCGCCTCCCTCCCCTCCCCGTCACCGGGCCCTCTGCCATTAAAGCTTCCGTGCTTCGCTCTTCCCTTCTGGTTCACTTCTTGGGCGCCACCTTTGGACCCGTAGGGTGTTGGGCGCTGAGGGTCCCAGGGTGCGGGGAGCGGCTGGGGGTTTGCGACCTCGAGTCCAGCAAGGGGCGACTCCAGGGAGCGAGGCGGCAGCTTCGGCCGCGACCCGAGCGCCGGGCGTTGCGGGGCGGGGGCTCTTGGGCTGGGGCGACGTAGCCAGCCCAGTCCTGCCGAGGGGTGGGGCCGACCCTGGGGCTCTCTGGCCCCACTGCCGCCGCGGAGAGAGCGCGCCTGGGCCACCCCGGCTGGAAGGCATCCCCGGAATGCGGCGGCTCAGCACCCGACCCCTCGGGAATTCCCCGGGGGAGCCGCTGGGAGGGACGCTGCTCCCGGGCCGGGCCGGCCGGGCCTCGGGCTCTGAGCGGTGGGGTTAGAGGCTCCAGCCCCGCCGAGTTGCAGACGTGAGGTCGAGCACACCTGTAGGGGCGGCGGGGAGGTCGCGGCCACATCCGGGGCGACATGCCTGAGTCACCCCGTCCCGCCAGCGTCTGCCAGTCCAGCCAGTCCGTCCAGTCTCTCGCGTCCGAGACTCGCCTCCAGCCTCCCGCCTCCGCCAGAGCAGCGCGAGCCTCGCGGGGGCGGGGGCGGGGCACCAAGGGGCGGGGCTGTCTCTTAAAGGGCCCCGGGCCGCTGCCCTTAGGCCACTTCCTGGGGGCGGAGAGGGCCTCAGCGGCTGCGGCGACACCCAGGGAAGGCGGCGCGGCCGGGTCCCGAGACTCCTGGCTGTTTCCATCAGAGCCCTCGGACACTCCCAGCCCGGGCTGAGCACACGCATCGTCGCTCCCCGGCGGATATAAGGGGGCTCCGCCATCAGCTCCCGTCAGTTCCCTATCCATCTCCTGGGACCCGCGCCGGCAGCCAGGCCAGGCCTCTGAGTGGCCCCAGAGCCCTGGGGAACTCGTCCACGGCGGCAGCGATCTGCCCGGGGTCTCGGAAACCAGCTCTTCGGAGTCGGCCCTGTGCTCGCCACCGTCATCTGCTGGTTGGATTCCGGAAACCCACTGTCTGAAGATCACAGAGGGGTGTCGCTGACCACCTCAAATCGGATACGTCCAAACCTCAAGCTCCCTTCCCCTCTCTGGCTGCCCTCTGCTCTTTCAATCTCTTCTCTCAACCCTTTGGGGATTTCTGTGTCCTGAGACGAGCTCCCCATCCACCACCAAAGTAGCTGGGGTGAGCCCCAAACCTTACTGCGTGTGCTCCACCTGTGCCTCCAACCCAGCGAATCTGACAGCTTCGACCCAATTCTGCACACACCCAGGAAGTTGTGCCTTTTCTTTTCTTTCGGTGTCTCCTGTGCTTCCCAAAATTTCTCCTCCTCCTGTGCCCTCTTCGCCCCCCTCCTTTGGGGGCCCCGTGACCCTGAATGTGGGGGGCACGCTATATTCCACCACTTTGGAGACCCTGACCCGCTTCCCAGACTCCATGCTGGGGGCCATGTTTAGGGCCGGCACCCCCATGCCTCCTAACCTCAATGCGCAAGGAGGCGGCCACTACTTCATCGACCGGGATGGCAAGGCCTTCCGGCACATCCTCAATTTCCTGAGGCTGGGCCGCCTGGACCTCCCCCGCGGGTACGGAGAGACAGCGCTGCTCAGGGCAGAGGCTGACTTCTACCAGATCCGGCCCCTCCTGGACGCGCTGCGGGAACTGGAGGCCTCTCGGGGGACCCCCGCACCCACAGCTGCCCTGCTCCACGCAGATGTCGATGCCAGCCCCCGCCTGGTGCACTTCTCTGCTCGCCGGGGACCCCATCACTATGAGCTGAGCTCCGCCCAGGTGGACACCTTCCGAGCCAACCTCTTCTGCACCGACCCGGAGTGTCTAGGTGCTTTGCGGGCCCGATTTGGTGTGGCCAGTGGGGACAGGGCAGAGGGGAGCCCACATTTTCATCTGGAGTGGGCCCCCCGCCCCGTGGAACTCCCCGAGGTGGAGTATGGGAGACTGGGGCTGCAGCCGCTGTGGACTGGGGGGCCAGGAGCGCGGCGGGAGGTGGTGGGCACGCCGAGCTTCCTGGAGGAGGTGCTGCGGGTGGCTCTCGAGCACGGCTTCCGCCTAGACTCTGTCTTCCCCGACCCCGAAGACCTGCTCAACTCCCGGTCTCTGCGCTTTGTCCGGCACTGAGGACTCTTCTCAGTTTGATTGTGGGGAGGAGAGAGAATGGGGTACTGGCACCTCTGAAGCCTCTTTCCAGCTCTGCTTCAGGAGCTATGAGAGTCGGGGTCCTCCTGCACCTGACTGGAGCTCAGATGTGGGCAGGAATTCCCAAACCTGGCCCAGCAAGGACTCACAAAGGATCCAGAAGGTCTCGACCTGTGCTGACCCTGGGAGGGTAGGGAAGGTTCTCTTGGCTTGTTCTCACCTAAGGCTGGGGACCTCCAGTCTCTCCTTGATCTGGATCTCAGTGTTTAAGGGCCTGGAAAAGAGGGGAACATCTCTTTACCCAGACCAGACCTGGCAAAACCCTGGAAGGATATTGAGGTCTGGGGAAAAGGGAGGACTTTGCATTTCCCCAGTGCGGTCTCTCGGACCATGGCTTCTCCTCCTGAAGCTGGGTGGCCTGGCCTGGCCTGACCAATGAGAGGCCAGAGCACTCTGGAACATGGGAAGAGGAATTCTTTGCTGTGTTCCAAGCCACCTACTGAGGGAGGTGGAAAGGCCACAACCCACCCTAGGTTGATGCACGGGAGCTAGGAGAGTCCCCACGGCAATGGGGCTGGAGCATCCCTCATCTGGAAGAATCCTCTACTGATGGCAGGGCTGGCCAGCGGGAAGAGGGCAGTATTTGTTGGGTCCTGGCCTTCCCTCATGTGTGCGTGCCTATCAGCCCGTGTGTCTGACTGATGTATAGGTCCATGGCATCCTGGTTCCTATCTGTGTTGCTGACTACAGTGTCTGTGATGTCTGCATGTCCAGGCCTGTTTGGGGTTGCCTAGTCGACTCTTCTGGCACAGGGTGTGTCTGTGGTATACCTGTGAGGTGGCTGACAATTAGTAGTTTAATCACAGGGTGTGTGTGTGTGTTTATGTGCACGCATGTATATGCATCACCACGTAGCCAGGAGGGGCCTGTTGGGGTTTGAGTCACTGGGATCTTCCCGGTGAGAGGTAAGAGAAGTCACTGGGCTTAGCTGGGCCTCTGAGGCCTGTATGGAACTCTTGGTTGCTGAGGCAACCATGGGCCTGTTGCTAGGAGATAGCTGGGGAAGGCCCAAGGCTGCCCAGGGCAGAGAGAGGAGATGAAGAGTTTGGGACAGTGGGGGAGGAGATGGGAAAGGATGGGATTTCTGGGTCCCAGAGCGGGTGGGATACTCATGCACAGCTTCTTCACTGGGGGGGCACGCATTATTTCTCACTGCTCATGATTTACGAGAGAAAAATAAAACTGCTTTTGGAACCACAAATTTGTGAAGACTGTTGGGGGCCAGGTTGGGGGTGCTGTCCCCTCACAACAGAAGCCCTGTTTTCTCTGCCCATCGCCTGCTGGAGATGTCTTCTGGACCCCAGTTCCTTGAGCCCCAGCTTTACCCTAGCTGAGGATGGGCAGTGCCATTGTTCTGGAACACTCTAGAACCTCCAGGCAAGGGCTGGAGCCAGGGCTGCAGAGCATTCCTCGGCCCAGCTGGGGCAGCCCCGCCCCATCCCCCAGTGGTCCTCATGTGGAGGCTGGCACTAGGCGGGGTTTTCCTGGCAGCCGCCCAGGCTTGTGTCTTCTGCCGCCTCCCAGCCCACGACTTGTCAGGCCGCCTGGCTCGGCTCTGCAGCCGGATGGAGGCCGGGCAGAAGGAATGTGGGGCCTCCCCGGACTTCTCGGCCTTTGCCTTAGGTAGGATCAGACATCCAGGGATGGGTCCGGCAAGCACTCACCCCCATACCCCCAGAGGGTGGCGTGTGACCTCCCAGCTGTGCCCTCCTCCGTCTGTGGCCCTTTCTGGACATGCTGGCCTCTCTCTCTGAGAGAGCTCCATATCCGGGAAAGTCAGGAGAGACCCCAGAACCTGAGTTGGTGAGGGAGTCGCTGGTGCTTGCCCATCTCCACAGATGAGGTGTCCATGAACAAAGTCACAGAGAAGACTCACAGAGTCCTGAGGGTCATGGGTGAGGTCAAGGGGAAAGAGTGACCTAGGGGCTTGGGAGGACACCAAGGAGAGGGGTGGGTGACAGGGGCTGGGGTGGGAGGGGAAGGGTGGAGGGGCAGAGACAGGAGGGCTGATCAGGGAGGGGGCTGGGTGAAGGGAGGGGGCACTGGCCCCATCGAGGCCCAGGGCAACGGAGCTGCTCTCTGCCTCCCCAGAGATCAAAGAGGCTCTCTCCTCACTCCCTTCATATTGGAGTTGGCTTCGAAAGATCAAGCTCCCCGAGTACACCAGGGAAGGTACCGACGCGGAATGGGCCTCAAGGGGAGCCTAGCGTCTTAGCCAAAGGGATGTGTGGTGAGCAGCTCATCCACGCACACCCTCACCCCTTCCTTGTCTTTCATTTCAGCTCTCTGTCCCCCTGCCTGCCGTGAGTAGGAAAGGAAAGGGGTAGTAAGGACCTGGGGCCTGCAGGGTGTCAGAGGAGGGCCTGGCAGCTGCAGGTAAAAGCTGGGTACCAGGCAGGGTGGAGGCCCGGCCTCTCCTCCCCAGCGTTGCCTCTGCTGTCTCCTGCAGGGGGCAGCACCACGCTGTACAACTGCTCCACCTGCAAGGGGATGGAGGTGTCCTGCTGGCCCCGAAAGCGCTGCTTCCCAGGTCCTCACGCCCACCCTGGCCCCGCCCCACCTTGCCCAGATCCCTGAGCCCTTGGGCTCCCCCGTCGGTGAGTGTGCGTTCCAGAATCATTCACTGCCTCCTGGGTTCCCTGCAGGAAGTCAGGATCTTTGGGAAGCCAAGATTCTGCTCCTCTCCGTCTTTGGAGCTGTCCTGCTTCTGGGTGTTCTGAGTCTCCTGGTGGAGTGAGTTTTGGGATAAGGACAGGAATCCTACCCTACCCAGTGCCTTCCACCGCCCACCCTCCCTCCCTCTGTCCCTCCCAGGCCCCTCCCATAGGCTTCCCATTCTCCGTCTTCCCTCAGGTCCCACCACCTCCAAGCAAAAAGTGGCTTGTGAAGACGCTGAAAGCCTCCCAGCCTCCAGCTCTAAGGAGTATGCACTCACAACTTCTACATCCCTTGCAGGAGAACCAGCCAACCCCTTAGTCCCAGCTCCAAAAACAGTCCCAGACCCTAAAACCCAGACATCCCTGCTTCTGGTTGGTGAGATAATGAAAAACAAGAAAATCCCCAAAAACCCAGACCCCCCACAATCCCAGTGTCAGACGGCTTCCCAGGAACCCAGGCACCCACAGCTGGAAAGTTCCTCCCCTCCAGCCCTCAACCAATCACACAGCTGTCAACAATGCCAGGAAAATATCTACAGAAGGAAAGAATCCCCTACGCCACTCCCACCACACCCACACCCACTTCTGCCTGTTCCGGGAAAGCGGGGGCATCTGCCCCAGAAGCTATTCCAGGCCCTCCTATGACTGATTAGGAATCCGGGAATGCGTGTTCTGGAAAACTCACCCCGCTACAGTGAGATCACGTCGGTGGGTTCGCAGATGGATGGATGCCCTCCCTCCATCGTGTTAACAGTTTCAAACCCTGACCTCCCTCAGAGGCCTCCGTCCTGCCGCCTAACTAAACTTGCTGTTCGTGGCCTCTGCCTTTGCCTAGCCTCTGTCTGCAACTGGGGAGGGCAGGGGAAGGATGGGAGGCTCTCAGAGTAGCACAGTGGTTCTCAGATGGGGGTGATTTTGCACCCCGGTAGACATTTTGCAACATCTGGAGTCGTTTTGTTTTAACTGGGGGGATGAACTACTGGTCTCTGGTGGGTAGAGACTAGAGATGCTGCTAACCATCCCGCAATGCATAGGAAGGTCCCCACAGCAAAGAATTATCCCGTCCAAAATGTCAGTGTTTACCAGGAAAGGGAGACAGGAAAAAAAAAAAAAGAAGAAGAAGAAGAAGAAAGAAAGGAAAGAAAGAAAAGACACAAAATGTCAGAGCATGGTTGAGAAACCCTGGTGTTTGGTCACTTTCCTATCAGGAGTTTTTGGTTTGGGAGTGGGACATGGGACATGGAACATGAGAAGAGAGGTCTGTTGCCAACCACAAGGCACAGTCTGAGTGCCTAGGCCTGGCAGGGATCCCAGCCCAGGGGTTTTCAAACTGGATACCTCGAGGCTCCAGGGTAAGCGTTCTCAGCCAGCTGCGTATCAGAGCCACCTGGGCAGCCTTAAAACTTGCTGTGCTTTGGCCCCATCTCCAGAGATTCTGGAATAAATGGTCCTATATGGGGCCTTGGTTAGTGTAACCCACAGCCAGGGTTAGAATCATTGTTCCGGGGTGCCCAGAAAGGCCCTAAGGATAGGAAGAAGAACTCCTACCCCTTCCACAGTAGTACCTCTCTCTCTCTTTTTTTTTTTTTTGAGACGGAATTTCGCTCTTGTTGCCCAGGCTGGAGTGCAATGCTGTGGTCTCAGCTCACCGCAACCTCTGCCTCCTGGGTTCAAGCAATTCTTCTGCCTCAGCCTCACAAGTAGCTGGGATTACAGGTGCCTGCCACCATGCCGGGCTAATTTTTGTATTTTTAGTAGAGACAGGGTTTCACCATGTTGGCCAGGCTGGTGGCGAACTCCTGACCTCAGGTGATCCACCGCTGAGCCTCAGTCCTACTGCCTGCAAAATGGAGTTAATGATGGCTAATGTGTACGGAGACAGCGTGTCAGACGGTCTAAGCATTTTTTTTTTTTGAGATGGAGTCTCGCTCTGTTGCCCAGGCTGGAGTGCAGTGGCACGATCTTAGCTCACTGCAGCCTCTGCCTCCTGGGTTCAATCGATTCTCCTGCCTCAGCCTCCTGAGTAACTGGGATTACAGGCACGCACCACCACGCCTGGCTAACTTTTGTATTTTAGTAGAGATGTGGTTTCGCCATGTTGGCCAGGCTGGTCTCAAACTCCTGACCTCAGGTGATCCTCCTGCCTCGGCCTCCCAAAGTGCTGGGATTACAGGCATAAGCCACATGCCTGGGTAATTTTTTTAGTACTTTTAATGGAGACGGGGTTTTACCGTGTTGGCCAGGCTGGTCAGGAACTCCTGACCTCGAGTGATCCGCCTGCCTTGGCCTCCCAAAGTGCTGGGATTACAGGCATGAGCCACCATGCGTGGTCAGTCCTGCCCAGTTTTCAAGGATCTCTATCCTGTCTGTCCCATCCTTCCATAGCCCCAGCCCACCCAGAACCCTCTCACAGTGGACCCCAGTCTCCCAGAGGCGCCACCAGACTGCCTGCTCCCGTGGAATGCACTTTACCCTCAGCGGCCACGCTGGCCTCCCCGAAAACTTCCACACTGCTCACAACCCCCAGCCCTGCATCAAATGATGATCAAGAATTTGGGCTTTGGAGTTGGGCTACCTGGTTTCAATCAAATCCTGGCTTTGTCTCTTACTGGATCATGGGCAAGTTATTTAACCTCTCTGTGCCTGTTTTCTCGTATTTTATCTATTTATTTATTTTTTGAGATGGAGTCTCACTCTGTCACCCAGTCTGGAGTGCAGTGGTGCAATCTCCACTCACTGCAACCTCTACCTCCCGGGTTCAAGCGATTCTCCTGCCTCAGCCTCCAGAGTAGCTGGGACTACAGTCTCCCAGCACCACGCTGGGCTAATTTTTTATGTTTTTAGTAGAGACGGGGTTTTACTATGTTAGCTGGCATGGTCTTGAACTCCTGACCTCAGGTGATCCGCCTGCCTCAGCCTCCCAAAGTGCTGGGATTACAGGTGTGAGCCACCGCACCTGGCCGCCTCATCTTTTAAATGCAGTAAATGTATTTTATTGACTCTATATAACGTTTTAAATCTGTTTACATTTGAACATCTCTGAAGTCAGAATGCATCTTAAACTGAAGGTATGCCATGGCTTAATGGATAGTATTTTTTTCTTAGTATTTAAAATAATGGTATATCAGCAGGGCACGGTGGCTCACAACTGTAAAACCAGCACTTTGGGAGGCCAAGGCAGGTGGATTACTTGAGGTCAGGAATTCAAGACCAGCTGAAAAACATGATAAACCTCTATCTCTCCTAAAAATACAAAAATTAGCCAGGCATGGTAGCAGGTGCCTGTAATCCCAGCTACTCAGGAGGCTGAGGCAGAGGAATCGCTTGAACCTGAGAGGCAGAGGTTGCAGTGAGCTGAGATTATGCCACTGTACTCCAGCCTGGGCAATAGAGCGATATTCCGTCTCAAAAATAAATAAATAAATTTAAATATTAAAAAATTAAATAAAATAATGGTATATATTACAATTGATGATATATTACAATTCATGATAAATTCAATGAAATTCAGTAGTAGTTACTTTATGGGATTGCTGTGAAGTCTAAATAAGCTAATATAAAATGCTTGGGGCCAGGCACAGTGGCTCACACCTGTAATCCCGGCATGTTGGGAAGCCAAGGCAAGAGGATCGCTTGAGCCCAGGGGTTTGAGACCAGCCTAGGCAACATAGTGAGACCCCATCTCTACAAAAGAAATTAAAAATTAGTGGGGTGTGTTGGCTGGGCACGGTGGCTCATGCCTATAATCCGAGCACTTTGAGAGGCCAAGGTGGGTAGATCACGAAGTCAGGAGTTCAAGACCAGCCTGACCAACATGGTGAAACCCTGTCTCTACTAACAATACAAAAATTAACTGGGCATGGTGGCACATGCCTATAATCCCAGCTACTTGGGAGGCTGAGGCAGGAGAATTGCTTGAACCTGGGAGGCGGAGGTTGCAGTGAGCAGAGATGGCGCCACTGCACTCCAGCCTAGGGGATATAGCAAGACTCCATCTCAAAGAAAACAAAAAAAATATAGCTGGGTGTGATGGCGCATGCCTGTGGTCCCAGCTACTCAGGAGGCTGAGGTGGGAAGATCGCTTGAGCCTAGGAAGTCGAAGCTGAAGTGAGCTGAGATCACACCACTGCACTCCAGGTTAGGTGACAGAGTGAGACCCTGTCTTAAAAAAGAAAGAAAGAAAGAAAGAAACACAAACTCCAACAATCTCTTGTGCCACATGCTTATGAAGAGCTTACTAGGGGAATGTATATCACAAGGGTTCAGAGAAGGGACTGGGGTTGTCAGGGACACAACCTGGAGGCTGCCATGTGCTAAACACTGTGGAAACAAAGATAAACCATTAGGTGGCCAGGCACAGTGGCTCATGCCTGTAATCCCAGACTTTGGGAGGCCAGGGCAGTTGGATCACCTGAGGTCAGGAGTTCGAGATCAGCCTGGCCAACATGGTGAAACCACGTATCTACTAAAAATACAAAAATTAGCCGGGTGTGGTGGCAGGTACCTGTAATCCCAGCTACTCGAGAGGCTGAGGCAGGAGAATCTATTGAACCCAGGAGGAGGGGGTTACAGTGAGCCAAGATTGCGCCACTGCACTCTAGCCTGGGTGATGGAGGGAGACTCGGTCTCGAAAACAAACAAACAAAAAACCTGTTAGCTGGGGGTTTAATAGGGCAGGGCATGGTTCGGAGGGAAGATGGATTGGTAAAGAAACAGCACCACCTTGATGTGACACAGCTGAGGGACATCTAGAGAAGGGACACCCCCAGGGGCTCAGAGAAGGATTCTCAGAAGAGGTTGTGCCTGAGCCAAAGGAGAAAGACATCCCAGGTATAAGGACAAGCCTGGGCAATGAGAGATGAAAAAGCAGGAGGTGTTTGGGCAGCTACAGGTGATTCAGTGTGGCCGTGGGAGATGCGCTGGGTGGGCAGTGCTGAGAGAGAAAGCCACAGGGACGTGTGGGGGCCAGATTCCAGGAAGTATTATACAGGTAGGTCACTTGCTAACTGATGAGAAGCAGGCATGTGGGCATGGCAGGAAGAGAAGAAGGAAGAGAATGGCCAGGATACAGTTGGCACTGCCATGAAGCGCCATAGAGTTCTCAGAGGGGTGACGGGCTCAGGGAGGAAGGTGAGCTTGAACATACAGAATCTGAGATGCCCGGGCAGGGGCATTCAAGTGGAGATTCCAGGTAAGGCTACCTTTGAACAGCTCTGGCCTGAGGAGCAGATAGAACAAGTGGGAGCTGCTGATGGAGAGCCCTGAATATCAGGGTAAATAGAGGCCAGGCCAGGCGCGGTGGCTTACCTCCGTAATCCCAGCACTTTGGGAGGCCGAGGCGGGCGGATCACCAGGTCAAGAGATCAAGACCATCCTGGCTAACACAGTGAAACCCTGTCTCTACTAAAAATACAAAAAATTAGCCAGGCATGGTAGCAGGTGCCTGTAATCCCAGCTACTCAGGAGGCTGAGGCAGAGGAATCGCTTGAACCTGAGAGGCAGAGGTTGCAGTGAGCTGAGATTATGCCACTGTACTCCAGCCTGGGCAATAGAGCGATATTCCGTCTCAAAAATAAATAAATAAATTTAAATATTAAAAAATTAAATAAAATAATGGTATATATTACAATTGATGATATATTACAATTCATGATAAATTCAATGAAATTCAGTAGTAGTTACTTTATGGGATTGCTGTGAAGTCTAAATAAGCTAATATAAAATGCTTGGGGCCAGGCACAGTGGCTCACACCTGTAATCCCGGCATGTTGGGAAGCCAAGGCAAGAGGATCGCTTGAGCCCAGGGGTTTGAGACCAGCCTAGGCAACATAGTGAGACCCCATCTCTACAAAAGAAATTAAAAATTAGTGGGGTGTGTTGGCTGGGCACGGTGGCTCATGCCTATAATCCGAGCACTTTGAGAGGCCAAGGTGGGTAGATCACGAAGTCAGGAGTTCAAGACCAGCCTGACCAACATGG